ACATTCCCAGCCCCTTTTTGAGACAGGGTCTCACTAAATGGCCCAGACTGGTCTCAAACTTGTGATCCTCCTGCCTCAACCTCCAAAATAGCTGGATTTCAGGCATGCACAACTGTGCCTGGCAAAATAATTTCACTTAAACTAACATAGGTAGCACATGCCCATAATCCCAATGATTTGAAAGACTGAGGTAGGAGGATCTCACATTTAAGGCCAGCCTGGTCAATTCAGCGAGACCCTATCTCAAAATAAAAAATAAAATAAGGCTGGGGCAGGGGTGGCTGTAGTTCAGTGGTAGAGTACATAGGTCCAATCCCCAGTAACACACATACACACATGCCCCCCAAAATAAAATAGGTCCAGTGTGTAGCTCAGTGGTAGAGGACTTGCCTACCATGAATATTCAATCCCCAGTATTACAAAACAAATGTAAAATAAATAAATAGCATAACATAAAAAAAGAATAAAATAATAAGGAATAAAAATAGCCAATATAAGTGCAAAATTCTCTAAAATCTATAGAATATTGTTAGATTGAAAAGATTTAAAGAGGGCTGGGGACGTGGCTCAAGCGGTAGCGTGCTCGCCTGGCATGCATGCGGCCCGGGTTCAATCCTCAGCACCACATACGATCAAAGATGTTGTGTCTGCCAAAAACTGAAAAATAAATATTGAAATTAAAAAAAAAAAAAGAAAAGGTTTAAAAAAATGGAAAGTCACCCCCATGTTCATGAATCAGAAGACAGTATCATTAAGATGGCAATACTCTTCAAATTGTCAGTGCAATCTGTAACCAGAATCCCAGTGGCTTCCTTGTGAAAATTGACAAGATGGCTCTAAAATTCATATGGAACCTGGCACAATAGTGCACATCTGTGATCCCAGCAACTTGAAAGGCTAACGCAGGAGGATTCCAGGTTCAAGGCAGTCTGGGCAATTTAGCTAGCCCCTGTCTGAAAATGAAAAATAAAAAGGGCTGGGGGTATAGCTCAGTAGTAGAGCTCAATCCCCAGTACAGCCAAAAAATTTAAAAATTTTTTAACAAACTAAAATAAAATTTGTATGGAAATCTTAAATACAAGAAGTTGGAGTGCTCACACTTTTCAATTTACAAATAAACATACAGTTATCAAGACAGTGTAATATTGGCATAAAATATACATATGTAGATAGATAAATCAATGAAATAGAATTGAAAGTCCAGAAATGAATATGTTTCTCTGATCATATGATTTTTCAACCAGAATTTTGAAAACATTCAATGGCAAAAAATATATTCTTTTCATCAAATCATACCAGGAAAACTGAATATCCACATGTAAAAGAATGAAGTTGGGCCTTAACCTTACACCATATGCAAAAATGAACTCAAAATGGGTTAAAGACCTTAACATAAGAGTCAAAGCTGTAAAGTTCTTAAGAGGAAAAATAGGGATAAATCATTGTGATCTTGGATTTGGCAATGGGTTCTTAGATATGACACCAAAAGTACAAGTAACCAAAGAAAAAAATAGTTAAGCACTTTTGTGATTCAAAGGACAATGTCAAGAAAGTTAAAAGAAAATCCACAGGATAAGAGGAAAATTTTGCAAGTCATTGGGCAATTTGATTTTTTAATTATTGGTGTAAAACATAAAGAGAGTGAGAGAGATTGGGCACAGTGGCACACATCTGTAATCCCAGTGGCTTGGGAGGCTGATCTCAAGTTCAAAGTCAGCCTCAGCAACAGCAAGGCGCTAAGCAACTCAGTACATAAAATATAAAACAGGGCTGGGGGGCTGGGATTGTAGCTTAGTGGTAGAGTGTTCACCTAGCATGTGTAAGTCACTGGGTTCAATCCTCAGCACCACATACAAATAAATAAATAAAATGAAGGTATTGTGTCTATCTATAACTAAAAAAAATTTTTTAAAAATAGGACTGGGAATTTGGCTCAGTGGTCGAGTCCCCTGGGGTTCAATCCCCCTGTTCTCAAAAAGAAAGAAAAAAAGAGAAAGAGAGTGAGAGAGACAGACATATGCAAGTGATAACTCTATGCTTAATCACTTGAGGAGATACCAGACTGTTTTCCAAAGTGGCTGCACCATTTTATTCCAACCAGCAGTGTTGGAGGGTTCCAAGTTCTCCACATCCTCACCAACACTTATTACTGACTTTTAATTCTAGCCCTTCTATGTGTGTGAAGTATCATCTGGTAGTTCTTCAGATGATTAAATATATAATTCCACTCCTAAGTATATATCCAAGATAAATGAAAACATAGCCACACAAAACATCATGTTTATAGCAATGTTATTCATAATAGCCAAAATTTAGAAACAACCCAAATGTCCATAAATGGATGAATCAACAACAAAATATGGTATATATCCTTACAATGAAATATTATTCAGCCACATAAAGAAAACAAGTACCAATACATGCTACAACCTGGATAAATCATAAAAACATCTTGTTAAGCAAAAAAAAATCCCGTCACACCGGTCATGCAGGTCATGGTGGTGCACGCCTGTAATTCCAGCAGTTCAGGAGGCTGAGACAGGAGGTTCTGGAGTTCAAAGCCAGTCTCAGCAATGGCAAGGCACTAAGCAACTCAGTGAGACCCTGTCTCTATAAATAAAACACAAAATAGGGCTGGGGATGTGGCTCAGTGATTGAGTGCCCCTGAGTTCAATCCCTGGTACCAAAAAAAAAAAAAAAAAGCCAGTCACAAAACGTGTGTGTGTGTGTGTGTGTGTGTGTGTGTCTATATCTGTATGTGTGTAAAACAGAAAGTCGATTAGTGGTTGTTTAGAGCGGGGGGGGGGGTAATGTAGGGTGACAGTTAAGTGGAATATTGTGATGATTGCACATTTCTGCAAATACACTAAAAAACCATTGGCATGTACACTTTTGATGTACATGCCAATGGTTTTTTGATGGGTGTACATTGTATGGTTTCATTATATTTCATTGTATATTAATTACATTTCAAGTTGCTACAAAAGAGAGATATAAATTAAAGATTTAATTAAAAGATCTTCAATATCATTCATGATAAAAGAAAGACAAAACTATACCAGTATAAAATGTTTTATCTATATTATCAAAGATTATAAATTATTGGAGACAACACATTCTGTTGGCAAGGCTGTGAGGAAGAAGGCACGCTCAGTAATTTTTTACAGGAATGCAAATCATACAACCATTATGGAGGAAAATTTAGCTATACTACTATAAGTACAAATTCATTTAAATTTTGTCTCAACAAATGCACTTGTAGGGTTTTACCCTGATGATACACCTTTTTATGAAAATAGCTGCACACAAGTATTATTGCTGCATTATTACTGTAGCATTACTAATAGTTTTTAAAGATTAATTCGTTCATTTACTTATTTATGGTACTGATTGAACCCAGGGGTGCTTAACCACTGAAGCACATCCCAGTCCTTTTTATTTTTTATTTCTAGACAGGATCTCAGTAAGTTGCTTAGAGATTATTAATTTGCTGAGGCTGATCTCAAACTCACAATCCTCCTGCCTCGGCCTCCCAAATTGCTGGGATTACAGGTGTGTGCCACTATGCCTGGCATTAGTAGTTATTAATAGTTGCAAAAAATATTGGAAGTAATTAAATATGTGTATAAGAGTGGTTATCCACAGAAAAGAATACTCCACAGTTGTAAAAATGAAAAATAATGCAAGTTGGGCTTGATATAACATGCCTATAATCTCAGCAACTCAGGAGCCTGAGGCAAGAGAATCACAAATTCAAGGCCAGTCTCAGCAACTTAGTGAGGTCCTAAGCAATTTAGTGAGACCCTGTCTCAAAATAAAAAAATAAAACAGACTGGGAATATAATTCAGTGGTAGAGTGCCCCTGGGTTCAATCCCTAGTACCACAAAATAATAATGATAATTATAGTAAAAATATAAAATAATGATGATGATGATGATGATGATAATAATAACAATGCAGAAGTTACCTATAAACATTATTTCAGATTAGAAGAGAGTCCCAGAATTTTTTTTCTGGTACTGGGGATTGAACCCAAGGGCACTTTACAGGATTTTGCTAAGTTGCTGAGCCAGGATGTATTATTAAGTGAAAAAAAAAATGCAAGAATGTCTATCTATGAGATGCTATCTTTGGTGTAAGAAAAAAAGGAGAAATGAAAAATGATTTACTGGTGAAAAGAACACAGGAAGTATGAACCAGAAATAGAGGAGATTTATTACCTACAGGATGAAGATAATAGGAACGGGGTAGAAAGGATAGTACTTGGGTGGAATGAAATAAAAGGATGATGGAGGAGGCGTGACATTTCTCTGAGTGTAGCTTTCACAGCTCTGACTTGATAAGTATGCTAATACATAATATGCTGAAAGATTCATAAATGCAGTAAGAACAGGTGGAAAATACCAACATTTCAACAGTTTTCTCCAAATAAATAAATTTGCTGCCTCTTCACTTTCAATCCTTTTTACATCCTCAAGCAGAATATTAAGCTGAGGATATAAAAAAATGGTCTTTAGCCACTTGCTTTTTGCAATGCCTGTTAGGAGGTTTCTCTTTGAAGCATGCAATACCACCTATGTATTGTTCAATTTTATACCATAATCATAATTGAGACGAAGACCCATTTTAATAACCTTTTACATCTGTTCTGTCATCCCATATATTTTTGTTGTTGTTTTTTTAAGAAAATCTCGTTAAAAAATAGCATCTTGGGAGGGGGGATAGTAGAGGATAGGAAAGGTAGTAGAATACAACAGTTACTAATATGGCATTATGTAAAAATGTGGATGTGTAACCGATGTGATTCTGCAATCTGTATTTAGGGTAAAAATGGGAGTTCATAACCCACTTGAATCTAATGTATGAAATATGATATGTCAAGAGTTTTGTAATGTTTTGAACAACCAATAAAAAAAATAAAATAAAAAAATAGCATCTTTTTTTTTTAATTAATCCGTTTATCAGAAATTTACAATGTCTATTCATTCCATCTGTGCAGGAGCTCAGCTGGTGACCATGAGAACCCAAGGTAAAAGGTGTTGAATGCAACTTCCTTGTTACTACAGTGTTGTGGTCAAGTCCCAAGGTGAGGACAAGGGTCAGTAAGTATCGAGTATATTCTCAAGAGTCGCAACAATAGGAACCAGAACTCTCCCACATATTTTTTGATGTTCTTATTGCTGTTTCTTGTCTCCCCCACCTTTTTTTTTTTTTAAATAATCTCTCTCACATCTTATAAAGAGGAGGTCTAGTCAACCATATGTCCACCAACTCCCACCCTTCACCCCACCACAGTACCCATAAAGAATGGGCCGGAGCCTAGGATGTGTATAGCTCAGTGGTGGAGCCCCTGCACCACAGTTTAACATGCATAAGGCCCTGGGTTCGACCCCCAGAACTGCGGGAAAAAACAAAACAAAGAAACAGACTGGCAGAGCAAATAGGAGTAGTCATTATTGGCCTTATGGAATCTATATTATTAACTTAAGCAATTTCATAAGTGCTTCTTTTTTAATTTTTTTTTTTAGTTGTAGGTGGACACAATACCTTTATTTTACTTTTATGTGGTGCTGAGGCTCGAACCCAGTGCCTCACGCGTGCTAGGCATGCACTCTATCACTGAGCCACAACTCCAGCGCCATCATAAGTGCTTCTTAAATAAGTCTTTTCCTGGAGGGCAGGTAACTGGGAATTGAACCCAGCGACACTCTCCATTGAGCTACATTCCCAGCCCTTTTTATTTTTATTTTGAGACAGGGTCTCACTGAGTTGCACAGGCTGGCCTCAAATTTGCAATCCTCCAAGTCGCTGGAATTATAGGAATGTGTCACTGTAACTTGACACTTTTAAAATAGATCTTCATGATTTTTTGCAACCCTTGACCCCATTTTTGGTATTTTTTTTTAAAGAGAGAGGTGAGAGAGAGAGAGAGAGAGAGAGAGAGAGAGAGAGAGAGAGAGAGAGAGAGAATTTTTAATATTTATTTTTTAGTTTTTGGCGGACACAACATCTTTGTTTGTATGTGGTGCTGAAGATCGAACCCGGGCCGCATGCATGCCAGGCGAGCACGCTACCGCTTGAGCCACATCCCCAGCCCCATTTTGGTATTATTATTATTTTTAATACTTTCAATCCACTTTCCTCAGCCTCCCAAGTCCCTGGGATTACAAACGTGCCACAGCACCAGGCTCCACGCAGTATTGTTACACACACACACACACACACAAACAAAACAAAACAAAAAAAACCTAACAACTTGTTTTATCCTTTTTTTTTTCTAGGAATATGACAAATCTGGAGTCGTACCTGAACAGGTAACTGCTGCTGGCTAACAGTGTAGAGGTGTGTGTCACCATGGAAGACGCAAGCCCGTCTAGCAGTGTCGACGTGGACAAAGGCTTTGCCATTGCATTTGTTGTTCTTCTGTTTCTATTTCTGATAGTGATGATTTTTCGGTGTGCCAAGTTGGTGAAGAATCCGTACGAGGCAAGCTCCACAACCACAGAAACACCTCTGAGCTGAAGTGTGATAAAACCTGGGACACCCGATTTCAAGAGATTTGAAATATTTTATACAGACTTTATTATCCAGACCTTATATTATCTCACCTCCCCATTTCTCGGCCTTCTCACTCTTGTATTCCACAATGGATATAGAGAGTGAGTTGAGAATAATAATAAAAAGAGATGAAACGCAAGCCAGTTTATATTGTTCTTCTTCAGGGAAATGATTACTAAAGTGGGACAGAAACAGGTTGAACACATTGGTTTTAGTTGTCTAGACATTAATGTCCTAGGCCGGGTGCAATGGCACATGCCTGTAATCTCAGCGATTTGAGAAGGCTACGCCAGGAGGGTCACAAGTTCAAGACCAGCCTCAGGAACTTAGTGAGGCCCTAAGCAACTTAGTGAGAACCTGGCTCAAAATTTTTAAAAAATGGGGGATTTGGCACAGTGTCTAGGTGCCCCTGGTTCAATCCCAGTACCGAAAACAATTAGAATTAAAGTCTTTGGGATGGGACAGTAGGCCATAATTTTGTGATGTAACATAATATCATGTTTTGTAGGGCCCATCTAAAAGTAGAAGCTCACCTGCAAGTAACAGACTCAAATGGTTGCTTTAGTTATACAAACAGGAACTGATTGTCTTAGGAGAAGATTATAACAAGACATTTTTTTTTTAATTTTTTATTGTTGGTTGTTCAAAACATTACATAGTTCTTGATATATCATATTTCACACTTTGATTCAAGTGGGTTATGAACTCTCATTTTTACCCCGTATACAAATTGCAGAATCACATCAGTTACACATCCATTGATTTACATATTGCCATACTAGTGTCTGTTGTATTCTGCTGCCTTTCCTATCCTCTACTATCCCCCCTCCCCTCCCCTCCCCTCTTCTCTCTCTACCCCCTCTACTGTCATTCATTTCTCCCCCTTGTATTATTTTCCCCTTTCCCCTCACTTCCTCTTGTATGAAATTTTGTATAACCCTGAGGGTCTCATGCAATTTCCCTTCTCTCTCCCTTTCCCTCCCACCTCTCATCCCAGTTTAATGTTAATCTTCTTCTCATGCTCTTCGTCCCTACTCTGTTCTTAGTTACACTCCTTATATCAAAGAAGACATTTGGCATTTGTTTTTTAGGGATTGGCTAGCTTCACTTAGCATAATCTGCTCTAATGCCATCCATTTCCCTGCAAATTCTATGATTTTGTCATTTTTAATGCAGAGTAATACTCCATTGTGTATAAATGCCACATTTTTTTTTTATCCATTCGTCTATTGAAGAGCATCTAGGTTGGTTCCACAGTCTTGCTATTGTGAATTGTGCTGCTATGAATATCGATGTAGCAGTGTCCCTGTAGCATGCTCTTTTTAGGTCTTTAGGGAATAGACCTAGAAGGGGAATAGCTGGGTCAAATGGTGGTTCCATTCCCAGCTTTCCAAGAAATCTCCATACTGCTTTCCAAATTGGCTGCACCAATTTGCAGTCCCACCAGCAATGTACAAGTGTACCCTTTTCCCCACATCCTGGCCAGCACTTGTTGCTGTTTGACTTCATAATGGCTGCCAATCTTACTGGAGTGAGATGGTATCTTAGGGTGGTTTTGATTTCCATTTCTCTGACTGCTAGAGATGGTGAGCATTTTTTCATGTATTTGTTGATTGATTGTATGTCCTCCTCTGAGAAGTGTCTGTTCAGATCCTTGGCCCATTTGTTGATTGGGTTATTTGTTATCTTATTGTCTAATTTTTTGAGTTGTTTGTATACTCTGGATATTAGGGCTCTATCTGAAGTGTGAGGAGTAAAGATTTGTTCCCAGGATGTAGGCTCCCTATTTACCTCTCTTATTGTTTCTTTTGCTGAGAAAAAACTTTTTAGTTTAAGTAAGTCCCATTTGTTGATTCTAGTTATTAACTTTTGTGCTATGGGTGTCCTATTGAGGAATTTGGAGCCCGACCCCACAGTATGTAGATCGGAGCCAACTTTTTCTTCTATCAGACGGCGTGTCTCTGATTTAATATCAAGCTCCTTGATCCATTTTGAATTAACTTTTGTGCATGGCGAGAGAAAGGGATTCAGTTTCATTTTGTTGCATATGGATTTCCAGTTTTCCCAGCACCATTTGTTGAAGATGCTATATCCTTCCTCCATTGCATGCTTTTAGCCCCTTTATCAAATATAAGATAGTTGTAGTTTTGTGGATTGGTTTCTGTGTCCTCTATTCTGTACCATTGGTCCACCCGCCTGTTTTGGTACCAGTACCATGCTGTTTTTGTTACTATTGCTCTGTAGTATAGTTTGAAGTCTGGTATCGCTATACCGCCTGATTCACACTTCCTGCTTAGCATTGTTTTTGCTATTCTCGGTCTTTTATTTTTCCATATGAATTTCATGATTGCTTTCTCTATTTCTATAAGAAATGCTGTTGGGATTTTGATTGGCATTGCATTAAACCTATAGAGAACTTTTGGTAATATCTCCATTTTGATGATGTTAGTTCTGCCTATCCATGAACAGGGTATATTTTTCCATCTTCTAAGATCTTCTTCTATTTCTCTCTTTAGGGTTCTTTAGTTTTCATTGTATAAGTCTTTCACCTCTTTTGTTAGGTTGATTCCCAAGTATTTTATTTTTTTTTGAAGATATTGTGAATGGAGTGGTTGTCCTCATTTCCATTTCAGAGGATTTGTCGCTGATATACAGGAATGCCTTTGATTTATTCGTGTTGATTTTATATCCTGCCACTTTGCTGAATTCATTTATTAGCTCTAATAGTTTCTTTGTAGACCCTTTTGGGTCTGCCAGGTATAGAATCATGTCATCTGCAAATAGTGATAATTTAAGTTCTTCTTTTCCTATTTTTATGCCTTTAATTTCTTTCGTCTGTCTAATTGCTCTGGCCAGTATAACAAGACATTTTTAATGTATGAGGTTTTGTAAAATTTGCTGCTCTTTTGAAGTAGATAGAATTCTGTGGTAGAGGAGAACCAGTTTGCCTTGGTTGAATCCCATAATCTCTCTCAGCCAAAAATTTCTTGTTGCCTACTCTCCAAAGTCTGAAGTTAAGAAAATTTGGTAGAATGGGATATGGGTCAACTGTCAGGGAAGTCCACAAAGGAATTCACTAGAAAGAAAGAAGGGCATCTAGGCTGCTTACCAAAGTTTAACAAATGTTAGTCTGAAGAGGACTGGTTCTAGCACAGCAAATAATGAAGAATTAAAGCCCTCATATCCAGCCATGCTGATCAAATATTCTAGGCAATAGAAAGCTATTATATGAATATGAACTGATAACCATAACTTTAGAATCTAAGTGTGGGGCATCATCTATGCTTATGCAGGGACTTGGACCAGAAATTAATCAGAGAAGGCATTTATCCAATGAGACCAGGCTAGACCTGTCTTTAACAGCAATAGGGTGCAGTTAGTCCTTTGTATTCCACATTGTTGGATTCACCCAACTGCTCATCACAAATATTCAGGAAAAAAATTGTGTCCATACTGAATAAATACAGATTTTTTTCTTGCATTATTCCTAAAACAATTCAGTATAACAACTATTTGCATAGCACCTACATTAAATTAGTTATTATAGATCATTGAGGTTAAATGTAGGTTATATGCAAATACTATACCATTTTATATAAGGAACTTGAACATCCATGGATTTTAGTATCCACAAGGGTCTTGGAACCATTCCCCCACATATACTTAGGAATAGCTATTGTCCCCTCACTCCCAATCCATGGTTTCACTTTCTGTGGTTTTGTTTACATGTGATCAAACATGGTCCAAAAATATTAAATAAAAAATTCAGAAATAAGCAATTCATAGTTTTTTTTAAAAAATAAGGACTTATTTATTTTAAGAATGGACACAATAGCTTTACTTTATTTATTTATTTATTTTTATGTGGTGCTGAGAATCGAACCCAGTGCCTCACACATGCTAGGCAAGTGCTCTACCACTGAGCCACAGCCTCCGCCATAAATGCTCTCTTTAAGTAATAAAGGTAAAAGTTCTCAATTAAGGAAGAAAAAAGTGAATAAGCTGAGTTTGCTAAGATATCTAGTAAGAAAGAATCTTCCACCCATGAAATCGTCATTTGTTGTGACTATTCCATTTTATTATTATAGTTGTTAATAACCTCTTACTGTACTGATACATAAGTTAAACATTATCATAGGTATGTATAAAAATTGTATGTGGGCTGGGGTTGTGGCTCAGTGGCAGAGCACTTGCCTAGCATGTGTGAAGCACTGGATTTGATCCTCAGCACCGCATAAAAATAAATCAATAAAATAAAGGTATTGTGTCCACCTACAACTAAAAAATATATTAAAAATAAAATAAAGGTGTTCTTTCCATCTGTAACTACAAAGAAATTTTTTCAAAATTGTATGTATAGTGTCCAGTACCATTGGAGCTTTCAGGCATCCACTGGGTGGTCTTGGAACACATTCTCCACTAACAGGGGAGACCACTATAACACATGGCATAGAAACACAACTCTAGCCATGCACTTGAGCAGAGACTTCATAACTGTTTTGTTCCTGATTCGTGGAAGTAGAACTGTTCCTTTTTTTTTAGCTTGAGTAAACCTCCAGGATACTTTGACAATGGGGACAGGAGAATTAAAGCCTTCCAAGGGAGATACTAGACATTGCCTTATTCAGAACAAAGGATAAGAGGGTGCTGTATTGATTAAACTGCAGAAAAGAGAGGAATTTGTATTTTGATTTAATGAAAAGAAATTCAGGGCCAGTGCAGGTCAGGTGAAATTGGATTAGTGTCGGTTCTTGAAATCTGCAATGTGCCACATCCCTAGCCCCATGAAATCTGCAATGTGTTACCTCCGGGAATTCAGAAATTAACACCCCCTCCCACCTCTCAAATAAGCTGACAGGCAAATACATGATTAATAGGAACATAAGTATGGAATCAGAACAGCTGTGGACATAGAACAAGAGGATTGACCTAATGTCTTCGTGGCCAGGTAGACCTTGGTGTGGAATTTCAGGGAGTTTTGGCCTATAAACCTTTGGTCTAACTGGTTTTATTGATTGCATTATCTCTGTTAATCTCATATTCTTTTTTTTAAAGATATTTTATTAGTTTTTGGTGGCCCTTTATTTTTATGTGGTGCTGAGAATCGAACTCAGTGCCTCACACATGCTAGGCAAGTGC